TTTCACAGGATCTGACTGAAATAGAAGAGCTCGAGAGTAGAGTTAAAATAATACATAATTTAACTCATCGATCATATGAGCATACTTATAAGATGGCTATTCGTCCAGGGCTTGATCACCCGACGCTGAAAGAAACCATACGTGAAGTATACCGACGCTGTACTGATTGTGAAAAGAACCAGATCAAGCGCTACGGTTGGGCACCCCTAGAAAGTGTGCCAAGACCAACCGATGCGCCGAGTCATATTCGATTTGGTTAAACTCCCGCGATTCAAGCATACTGGCGATGTATATATCTGTCATTTCTTATGTGTGGCTTCGGGCTGTAGCTTGCTTTATGCAATACCGACCAAACGCCCGCAAACAGTGGCAGAGTTATGCTATCATGTCTTTAATGACTTCGGTTTCCCCCGAGTGCTATGTTCTGATGACGGTAGTGAGTTTCTTATACTCGTATCAGGCATGACCCAAAGGCGTGGTGTTCCTTATAAACCTCAAACGCAGGGTGCAAATAGGACACGTCATAGAGAACTAAAGAAGCTATTGGGTACCGCTCTAGATGACGTTGAGGATATGTAGCCTTATCATTTGAAATGGGTTCAGACTCAAATGAATAACTGCATGAATCCTCAAACTGGAACACTCCCGTTTCACTATTTCTTTGGCCGCTATAGTGAATAACAAGCGGTAGAAGTAAGTCCTGTGTGGTCGAGGATATTAAGGCTCTTACCAAGAGGCAGTCCCGATCATCCTTACACAAGCTACCACTGCTAAATCCTAACTGACTTAAATTGTATCTTAGTTTATATAACATAGTATAAAACATAGAAATATCCATCGAAGTTTACATTATGTCCCACTGGTATCGCTGAAAGAGATTTACACTGTGCCGACCTGTTATTGATTGAATGAATCCAATAACCAACATAAAGTGGATTCCGCACTGGAACATTACAACGAGACTCTTTAAAACGTTCCTCAAAAGCAAAATTGCAATCGTTTTGTTTCATAGAGAAGGCGATTCCAAGTCGCTATTTTTTTTAGAGAATCCGCCCCCCTTTTATTCTTCTGACCTCTGGCACTTTTAAAATTGTACTGTAGATGCACCAACGCACTGCATGTAGTTGTCAGAGTGAATATATCAATAATAGGTATAATTTAGAAGAAATCAATGCATCACCGTGTGCATACAGAAAGCTATATATGTGTTATACTCTATGTATGTGCACAAGATATTGAGATGCCCTTTTTTCCAAACATTATACAACTTCGACAGTGTTTGAATTATTGGCTATATATGAAAGGCAAGAGGTCAATTCTGTTCTCGACTATGGAATAAGAGGAAAATGAAGAGAAGAAACCCTTCTCCCTTAAGGTAAAACCCCGAAAGGCAAATGAGTGTACTGATATCTCGAGGACTATTGACATTGCGAGCCTGGAAGGATCGATGTGCACGTGCAATGTACACATTTCAAAGACATCGCAGTTTCCCTATCTGGAATGTAATAAGTGCAAATCCGCTGTCTAATAAAATCCAAGATAGTAACTTCAAGATTAGGGATGATTTACAAAAAAAATGGGTTTTTTATATGATATAGTTGCACTACTATTCAACCATGATCATATTTAAGTTGTCTTTTTTAATAACACTAAAATTTATCTCCCAGGTTTTACGATTACAATGGGTTGGATAACTTGTATGATACATTGCTCGGATAACTTGTACAGTACATCGTCCGCAATTCTACAATTAGAGTAAATTGCTATGATCAATGTAATCTTGATATAGTTTACATACAGTAACATATGACTGTTGTGAGGCTCTGAAACCAATATGGTATTATTTCATTCATGTCGAAGGTGCGAATTCTCGTCCGGGAAACCCCCTTCAATGCAGTAAGGTCATTAGTTATTGGACTGGAAGGTGGCATATTTAATCACAATCATCACGACCAACTATATCTCTATCAGGGAAATCAGTTTAAAGAAAAAGTCTTTTCCAAAGACAGTAAGAAACAACCTATCCTCACTTTCATTACGGCCCACAACAACCCTACGTATAAATAGCACATTTTGAAATCAAGGAAAATCATTGGATTCATCGACGTGCACTCATTACCAAGACTATTCACTCGAAAACACGAGCTTACCCTGTGTACTCTCAGAGCTCGTGCGTATAGGTGTCGGCAAGCATGCAGAAAAGTACTGTTTGTCAATGATTATACGCTCTCCGAAAATTACGAACATACTTGAATATTTCACAGTATAAACACACAGGTAGGCATTTGTAGTCACAACTTTGCTAGTCAACTCTATAAATATACGACTTTTGTCGCGTAAACAATGACACGTTCAATAGCACATACGATACAGTCAAGTTGATTGTCGGTGCTAGATGAGACCTATGAGTCAGCTTATTAATGGATATTTGTATCAATATTTGTTGCGCATGTGCATCTGAAAACATTTGGACACCTGGTCCAAGGTAGGTATTTGAAGTGAGAAATGTTTAATCTCCTAGTGACATGACGTACACCAGTATTCACAATTTACCGGGAGATACATGAGCTTACATCTTGTCTGTGCTATAAGTACGCGCTGGCCGGATTTAATGTCAAGCCGTGGACCGGTGTTTGAAGGGTCAGAAGCCGTACTACTCTCCGCAACCGTAATTTTCGACCGATTGGATTTTCGTCGGTGTGGCTTTGTGTGACAGGAGGTCTAGGTATATCACTCGTACTCTTTTTAAAATAGTAGTCGTTGTACTCATTTATGTACTCCGAAAGAGTCAAGCACACTTCAACTGTGCTATAAATGAGATATTTCATAATCACAACGCAAATGGGAACGCCAGTGAACATATATAGATGTAAGTCCGAATGTTGGTAAAAGAGCAACGTCATCTGAACGCACAAGTTCGACCTTGAAATATATAACCGCAAGAGTTGAAAGTATTCACTTTCTTCAGCCGGAAAAGTGGTGTAGTTTGTTAATTGCTGTGTGCTGCTGATTCAAGTACACTAGCAGGAGAATAATCAAGGCTCAGACTGGTATACATACAAAGATTTTAGAGATGCTGCCCTGTCAAATGTACCCATCGGCAATTGTGGAATCATTGGGTTGACCTCCAGGTATCTGCAGTGAAAAAGTAGATGTATAACAAGCAACTTGTAGGTATAAATCAAAGAGCAGCCAGCCTAGCACTAGCAAGTTCTCAGCTAATTTACTATACAATTCTGAGATATAAATAGACAGACAAATTAGCATGGGTTATAGTTGCCAATTTCTGTGTAATCTCGATGTCTCGGTCAGCAATTGCCGTTTAACTTACACCAAGCATGTTAGATCTGTACCTATGCTGAATAGTTTTTAATTCTAAAATAACCATATCATTGTGCATTCTGACTTGTTTGCTAAATTCAGTCATTTCAGTTACAACTACCCAGATCCACACAGGTTTAGTACGAGGATAGCGGGCAAGTTGTTGACCGTGAGAAAGCCCATTGCCTAGGGATCGAGGGCACCTTACGATACAACACAGGGATAAGTCAGATGGTTATAAGGTTCATAGATGATCGACTACTCCACTGGCAAAAACCCACTGAAGTAATTATGATTTCAAACATACTAAATCGAGTCCTTTTAGTTATATTACTACCGAGGCATACATAAATTTCTCACGAGGGTAGTGAACAGGTTGTAGACCGTGAAAAAGTTCATTGCCCAGGGATTGAGGGCGCCACACATTAGCTCAGGAAAAGACAGGCCGTTAGCTAAAGTATTAGTATTGGCTACTATTTTTCAATTGTCACTAACGGAAATGTAACAAATGTGACAGAGTTTCAGTCGGAACATATACACGCTCACATTTTGCAGGTCAAGAGATTTTAGCTCTAAAACAGAAATGTCATTAACCTGTAGCCCGGTCTAAGAGAAAAATTGTGATTGTTCAATAGCCGAGCTCATCATCATAAAAATTAACACGCGCAAGCAGTAGTTGGTCACTGATGCGTCCATGTCTCAGCTTATGGTCATACTATGACGCGTTCTTCACTACTAAACAACCTGAATAGTCGCATATACCAACTTATGCCGATTGCACAAATCCTAGCTGCGTTATATTATGATAGCCATTGTTTGATGTTATCTATTAGTGTTTTGCTCGACACTGTTTTGGAATACCTTCACACTTGTGATGGTCTAGTTTCAGCCCCGTATGAGCTCGTAGGG